CAAAAAAAGTTGCTCTGGAAGTGAGATGGGGTGAATAGGGAGGGTGAATGGGGGTTGTTTTGGGTCAGAAACTGCTGAACACTCAGCATGGTGTGTGTGGGCAGGTGTGCTCATAAATCACCCATCATGAAACGGGCAAACTCATTGGAAGAGCCTTCAAAAAAATTTCACAGAAGCTGAATGCAGCCTTTCACAATGCCAGCTAGTACACTGATACAGATGGGCTCCTAGAACACTCGCCTAGCTGGGGAAGCCTGTACGGCAAGGGGCCTGCCCTCCAGAAGATAATTCCAGTTTTTTTGTGTCTCCCCTCATATACTGAAATTTAATACTTAATCAGAACTTTTTTTTCCTTAAAAATTATTTCCATTGGACATTTTTAATAGAGAGCAGGTAGACAAATTTTATGTATAATGCAGATTTTGACTTTTCCAACCTATAGAACACTTTGACATTTAAAACTATTTTATTTTTAGAGTCAAAATCTGGAGTGTTCTAGTGTGTCTTTTTGGCTGTTTTTTTTTTGTCACAAAGCTATATATCTAAAGTGATCAGAATACAAGAAAATCTGGAAAGAAGTCAATACCTTAAGTATTTATCATTGTATGAAGCTATACTACATTATTGTATATATGACAATATTATCACTATGAAGCCTTAAAAAGTATATGATTAAAAATGATGATACTTATATGTGAGTTTAATTCAAGTGTAAATATTGAGATAATAATATTTGAAGATGTCTTTCTCTTAATAAGCTTATGAAGTTTTGGGGCTTCCTGTTGTAATAACTTAAGAATTAAAATTTGATTGAAAAACTAGAAGAAATGGATAATTCCTAGAAACACATAAGCTTCCAAGAATGAATCACAAAGAAATAGAAAACCTGAATAGATAGATTACAAGTAACGAAATTGAATTAGTAATTTAAAAACTCTCAGAAAACAGAAGTCCAGGACCAGACAGCTTCAAAGGTGAATTCTACAGTTAAAGAAGAGTTAATACCTATTCATCACAAATTATTCCCAAAAGTTGAAGAGGAAGGAACTCCTTACCCTGATACTAAAACCAGAGAAAGACATCACCCACCCACCCACTTCCATGCACACACAAAATTACACGTCAATATCCCTGATGAACATAGATCAAAAATTCTCAAATAAACATTAGCAAACTCAATTCAAAAATACAATAGGATCATGCACCATGATCAAGTAGGATTTATTCCAGAGATGCAAGGATGGTTCAACATCTGCAAATCAATCAATGCGATAAGCCACAATAACAAAAGGAAAGATAAAATCATATAATCATCTCAATAGCTGCAGAAAAAGTATTTGACAAAGTTTAACAAAGGCCATATATGACAGCCCCACAGCTAACACCTTATTCAAGGGCAAAAAGCTGAAAGCTTTTCCTCTGAGATCAGAAACAAGACAAGAATGCCCACCCTTGCCATTTTTACTCAACATAGCATTAGAAGTCCTAACCACATCATTTGCAAGAAAAAAAAAACGTCATCCAAATTCGAAAGGAAGAAGTCAAACTGTCACTATTTACAGACCATGTAATATTCTATATAGAAGATCCTAAAGACTACACACACACACACACACACACACACACAACTATTAGAACTAATAAATGAATTCAGTAAAGTCATGGGATATAAAATTAATATACAGAAATTGGTTACTAATGAACTATCAGAAGAGAAATTAAGAAAAATTTCCATTTATAGTTGCTTCAAAAAAGAATAAAATACCTAGGAATAAATTTAACCAAGGAAGTGAAAGACCTGTACTGTAAAAACTGTTAAGACATTGATGAAAGAAATTGAACAAGAAACAAATAAATGGAAAGATATACCATGCTCATGGATTGGAAAAATTAATATCACTAAAATGCCCATACTACCCAAAGCAATCTACAGATGCAGTGCAACCCCCATCAAAACACCAATGGCATTTTTCATCGAAATAGAACAAAGAATCCTAAAATTTGTATGGAACCACAAATGCCCTCAAAGAGCCAAAGCAATCTTGAAAAAGAAGAACAAAACTGGAGGTATCATGCTCCCTGATTTCAAACTACATTATAAATCTATAGTAATCAAAACAGTAGGGTACTGGCACAAAAACAGACACACATCAAAAAAGTGGAATAGAGTACCCAGAAATAAACCTATGCATAAATGTGCATTTAATCTATGACAAATGAGGAAATAGAGACAAAGACAGTCTCTTCAATAAATGGTTTTGTGAAAACTGGACCATGTAAAAACTGGACCACTATCATACCATATACACAAGTAAATTCAAAATGTATTAAAGACTTGAATGTAAGACATGAAATTATAAAACTTGTAGGAGAAAACACAAGCAATAGGCTTTTTAAAAAAAATTTTATTTATTTTTAGAGAGGGAAGGGAGGGAGAAAGAGAGAGAGAAACATTGATGTGCAGTTGCTGGGGGTCATGGCCTGCAACCCAGGCATGTGCCCTGACTGGGAATCGAACCTGCGACACTTTGGTTCACAGCCCGCGCTCAATCCACTGAGCCATGCCAGACAGGGCTGCAACAGGCTTTTTTACATCAACCTTAGCATTATTTTTTTGGACCATTCTCTTCACACAAGGGCAACAAAAACAAAAATAAACTAGATTCTTTGTTCTAAAAAAGGTTTTGCACAGTGGAAGAAACCATTAACAAAACAAGACAACCCACTGAATGGGAGAGAATATTTTCAAATTATTCATTTGATAAGGGCTTAATATCCAAATAACTTATTATAAAAATATACAAAGAATTTATTATTAAAAAAACACACAACCTGATTAAAAAATGGGCAGAAGACTTGAATAGACATTTTTCCAAAGCTGATTTACAGATGGCCAACAGGCATATGAAATGATGCTCAACATCACTAATCATCCGAGAAATGCAAATCAAAACCACAATGAGACATTCCTCCATACCTGTCAGAATAGCTCTTATCAAAATGACAAAAAATAGCAAGTGCTGTGAAGGATGTGGAGAAAAGGAAACCCTTGCACGATGTTGATGAGATTGTAAAATGGAGGTTTTTTAAAAAATTAAAAATAGAACTATCATATAATCCAAGAATTTCACTTCTGGGTATTTATCCAAAGAATATGAAAACATTAATGTGAAAAGAGATATGCACCCTCCATGTTCACTTTAGCATTATTTACAGTAGTCAAATATGTAAGCAACGTAAGTGTCCATAGATAGATAAATGGCCTAGAGAGAAGATTTGGTACACACACACACACACACACACACACACACACACACAGGAATATTATTCAGCCATAAAAAGAATGAAATTTTGCCATTTGCAACAATGTGATGGACCTGGGGAGTATTATGCTAAGTGAAATAAGTTAGATGGGAAAGATAAATACCATATGATTTCATTTATATGTGGAGTCAAAAACAAAACAAAGCACATAAAGAAAACAAAACAGAAACAGATTCACAGGAACAGGAAACAAACTGACGGTTACTAGAAATAGGGGGGAAAAATGGGGGGATTATGGGGTGGGTGAAATAGGTGAAGGAGATTAATAGGTACAGGCTCCCAGTTGTAAGTAAATCTCAGGACACAATGGACAGTGTAGGGAATATAGTTAAAATGTTGTAGTAACTTTCTATGGTGGTAGATGGTCACTAGCTTATTATGGGAATCATAAATATGAAATAACTGTGGTGTGGTGTACCCCTGAAACTAATAGGATATTATATGTCAATTTTATGTCAATAAAAAAGAATTGAGGTTTGACATGTATGTTACTATTTTCATTCTTTTGTTTCTTCAAATCTTGCTCCAGTTGTCAGACCATTTTATTTCACAACCTCATTCTCTCTCCCCTTTTTTGTAAATATTTACTAGTAAGGAAATTTAAAAAACTCCTTATGGTTTTGTATTGAACTATATTTTAGCTTATCATGTAAACTTTTGTTGTATTCCTAGATTTTTATGTAGTTTGCTCACTTTTATCACTTCTGTAATAGTTCTGAGTGTCCCTTTGAATGTCTGTGGGCCCCTAAAGAAGGAATGTGAATTACACTGCACTTTTTAATTTCTTATTTTCAGACACTATGCTGCTTCAGTGCCTGTAGAATATAGTTACTAACAGGGTATCAAAAAGTGTTATTATAAAACACGTAACTTTGTTTGCCTTCTTTCTTTTGATTTTTTATTGTTTTCATTTTATTTTTTGCATTTTTAAATATGAAAATGTATGGGGTACAATATACCAAATACCCATGTATGCACAACTAGAATAATGAACATTTTTACATTTTGCTTAATAAGTTGTGCATATGCATATAGAGTTAGATATTTGAAACAGAGAATTTCAGATAAAGCTGGAGTCCTCTCTGTTTTCTTCCATGGTCTCATTTTTCTCCTCCACAAATGCAAGCAGAGCATACAATTTGCCTGCACCCTGTCAGACCATGTTTAATTTTTTACTACATATGTATGTATCCATCTGCTTAGTGTTTCTATCTGCTTAGTATTGTTTAGTGTGGTTCTTACAATTTTACAAAATAAGTACTCTCCTTCTGTATGTATCATTTTGCTTTTTTCAACCAGCATTAAGATTTATGCATGTTCATAATATATAGGTCTAATTCACTTATTTAATGCAGTATGCCAATGATTAAAATAGTGCAGTTTATCTATTTTCTTTTAATGAATTTAGGTTGTTTTTATTTTTTCTCTGCATATTCTTGGCCTACTTTCAGTATGTCGTCAGTCAGCAAGGCTTACTGCAACTCGGGTCACCTTTCCCTAAAGAGTTTACAAACTCACAGTGCGGACGTCAGATGGGGCGGAAGCTGAACTCTGTCCGGCCTCTCCTTGGGGACTGTTCCTCATTGACTCCTAACGTCTTTTGTGTATGATTTATATAAAGTTACTGTGCTTTCGGAGTAAATATTCAACTTCTTAAAATAATTGGCTTCTTTTAGGTGCGTGTTTAAACTGCCAGGGGAACAGCAAAGGGGACCACTGCGAAGAATGCGAGGAAGGGTTTTATCCGAGTCCTGACGCCACTACGGAATGTCTTCGCTGCCCGTGTTCAGCAGTGACGTCTACAGGCAGTTGTGTCCTCAGTAAGGCCTTTCTCTAAATCTTTATTTTTAAAGGAAAAATATGTGAATCAGTTATCGATAGGTACAAAATGTGTTGATAAGTGAAGTTCTGGGTAATATAGGTGAAAGGGAGTTATAAAAACAGCAAAGGCTTTCATTTCTAGGAACTGGCAGTCAAGTCCGCCTACGTATGGGGAATGAATGACCCTTGAGGGAGGGATGAGGACGTTTTCGGTAAAAGCGTATTCCATCTATCATGACGAAAGAGTAAGGGATAAAAAAAGTGAGTGCCTAGCCCTTGTAATTATTCAGATTTCTTATGTAAACATACTTCTTTTGTTTTCTATCTAAATAGGCTCTCTGATGGCCCCATCATTTTCACAATAAATTGGACAATTAATAAATAAGGTGTAGGATTTCAACTTGATTCCATGTGTCTCTTAAGTTTGAGAGGAGATAGTAGGGAAAGTTTTAACCCTTTTGAGAATGAGTAGTTGTTTTGCATTTCCACTGTAGCTTGAGACTGGACTAAATTATTTTGGTGTTCTCTCTGTTTTAGAATTGGGTGAATTGGAACCTAAATGTGTCCAGTGTAAAGAAGGTTATACAGGCCAGAACTGCAATAAATGTGAAAATGGCTATTACAATTCTGACAGCATCTGTATGAAGTGCCAATGTCATGGCCATGTGGACCCAATTAAAACTCCAAAGATTTGCAAGCCCGAGAGTGGTGAGTGCATCAACTGCCTCCATAACACCACTGGGTTTTGGTGTGAGAACTGCCTGGAAGGTTATGTTCGAGACCTCGAAGACAATTGCATCAAGAAAGGTAAACTTCACCTAAGGTTGTACGTTTAATATCTAAGCCTAGCACTGAAATTTTCAGGACAGCTGCCTTTAGCTTTATAAAACCTTCCAATCCCACAAGAGGAGTTTTCTGGAAATAGATGTTGATAGATATTTGCCTAAAGAGATTTCCTTCCATTCCTGCTGCTCTCCTGATATTCCAAAGTCAACTTCAGAAATTTGAGGACCAAGACCAAGTCATTGCAGTGTTTTCACATTTTCTCTTCATCTACTTTTATATTTATGTTAATAATTTAAAAGTCCTATCATTTTTTTTTTATCCTTTGCTTCCTGTATTCTCATCACCTCCAGTGATCACCAAAGGTCTTTTTAAATAGGGACTACAGTCTGGTTAGAAGTGCCAGCTGAGGAACAAGAGCCCATTCTAGCATCTGTCCTAACTTTGGGCCTAATTTTCCCAGGCATGATGGAGGAAATAGTTATAGTATTCCTTCTGATCTATAAAAGAAAAAGTTATTCCTATGGCAAAATGTTTCTTCCAGGGAGGTTCAGTAGGGTTTAGATACAAATTAATGATTAGAAATTTAGAATGAGTTAAGAATATTCAGGCTTTATTAGGTCACAGAGAGATTAGAGCACATTTTTCTGTAAACCACCCTCTGATATTCTGACAGATGCTGAATACTGGGCTGGTGGAGCTTGGCCTGTGGCAGGCATTGTCCTTCTGCCATTTTCTTGCTGTCCTTATTCTGTTGAGATCAAGGCTAAAAGCCTCAGGTTGAACCTGATCGCCAGCCTAGGTGTCCTGTCACTCAGTTCTCTTTCCCACTTGGAGGCATATCTTGTATGTACTTAGCTGTCAGGACTCTGATGATTTTTCTTATTAGTTATTAAATAATGTAAAACATGCCTCTCTTTAGGATAGATTGATGTAGCTGATTATGGTGATTAACTATAATGACAAAAGCGATCACTTCCTTGAATGATGACTACTATGTGCCAAGCACTATAAACATTAAATATAACAATGTTACATAGTATGTTATCTCATTTAATTCTTCCCAAGAACTTTGCAAAGCATATATTATTATTCCCATTTATAGATGAGGAACCTCAGTTTTTAAAAAATTAACTGACTTATCCATAACCACACAGTTCCACTTAATTCCAGAGCCTTTGGTATTTCCACTGAGCTATGCTGCATTGGAAGTGCAAAGCATAGTATGTGAATTGTAGCTGTAATCTACACAAAGGAAGAATTACTACATATGAAATTAAAAGCAGTCTTTTTTCTCTCTTGACTGACATCAATTTTGGACATCTAAATTGTGTTATCTAGAAGTAACTAGAAATACAATTGTTTTTCTATTTTGTTTTGGCCTCCTTTGAATAGAAGTTTGCCCTTATGAAATGCCATCAGACATGCTGAACTTATTTTAGTCCAATTGTCATCTATCCCTGTCACTTTTAACCAAGTGATTTAGAAGTCAGTAGTGACATATTTATTGCCTCTGCAGGAATTTGTTTGGCTCTATCCAACAGTAAAGAAGGATGGAAAATTCCAACATTAGAATTTTTCCAAAGATTTTAATATAGATATTATATATTTTGAATAACAGCCATGGATATAATAATCAGGTTTTCTAGACCCTGATTCTTTTCACGATATTTCTCTTAAAATTATTTTTAACTTGCATGACCTTGAAGCAGAATATCATGTCAACATGCCATATCAACTTCCACTCCCATGTATTTCTTTTATTGTTTCTTAAAACTAGATAATTTTGTCTTTTACATTTCATTCTCTGTTTTTATTTTCAGAAGTTATTGTTCCAACACCTGAAGGTTCTACCATTTTGGTTCCCAATGCCTCTTTGACCACATCAGTGCCCACCCCTGTTATAAATAGTACACTTACCCCCACAACCCTGCAAGCTATCTTTTCAGTAAGCTCTGCTGAAAACAGCACTTCAGCTTTAGCTGATGTATCGTGGACCCAATTTAACATCATCATCTTGACTGTCATCATCATTGTGGTGGTGCTGCTAATGGGATTTGTGGGGGCTGTCTATATGTACCGGGAGTACCAAAACCGGAAACTCAATGCCCCCTTTTGGACCATCGAGCTCAAAGAAGACAATATCAGTTTCAGCAGCTACCACGACAGCATTCCCAATGCAGACGTGTCGGGATTGTTGGAAGATGATGGCAATGAAGTGGCTCCCAATGGGCAACTCACCCTGACGACACCCATGCATAACTACAAAGCCTAAGGAGCCAGAACTGTTCTCCTGGATTGCTAGACCACATGCTTGCTAAGACAGCGTCGGACCCCGGGCCAGACAGAGCCTGGGTAGGATCTGCTGAGAGAGCAAAGGCATATAGTGCATTGGAGTTTCCAGGTACAGATTCATAATGCACTTAGCCTATTACTTTTAGTTTTCCCACGAAGATCTGAAGTAGTCACTGTCAATAAGGGACTTGACGTAAAGTATATTTTTGTACAAAACCACATGGGAGGATAGAAAGGCTGAACTCCATAGTGCAACCCTAATCCACTTTGACCTCCAAATGGACTCCTTGGGAGTGTTCACTCGACCAGCGGAAACAGGATGACGGATGTGGAGGGGGAGAGGACTGCCGGAAGACTTCATCTCCATTCCTGAAACATTTTTTAAAAGAGGGTCAGGGATGGGATTCATTTTTCTGTACTAAATAAGACATCAGTGAGGAAAAGCTGATGTCTGGGCTGTACCTCAATAAACAGCCTTGATTGTTTCTAGAACAGGAGCAGAAAAGTCCCAAGAAGGCCTTTAGGAGGGCTTGATTTTTCCTTCTGGAAGTCTTGCTCAGTGAAAGCATTAAAGCACAGAATAAGCTAATGGTACAGACGGGAAGGCAACACCTAGGAGCAGGAAGCTGATACAGTCCTCCTTAGGGTCTCAGTGTAAATGATAAATTATCTAAAAATAAAAAAATATTCCTGCTTCTAGAGAAATAAGGTGTATATAGTTAATGTAGCATACCTGGTCAGCATTGTCTTTGTATCTATTTGTAAAAAAATCATGTCATATTTTATCATCTAGAATGTATTTGTACAGAAGTTAATGGCATAAAAAGAAAATACGGGGATTGTTTAAAATAATGTAAAATAGATGGCAGTATTGCTAGAGCTGGGACTCTGGTGAGCATCAGTCATTTTTAGTCCCTCTTTGGACATTGTTGAAATTTATGAGGTTGAATGTTTCTAATCTTTCTTTCCCTTTCTCATTCTAAATGTAGAGTTTGTTCTTTGACTTATTAGAGATTCAAGCAATAGATTTTGAAGTCGGGGATTGGTAAGTGGGGCCACAGGCTGTACTCTCCAAGATACTCACCTAATTAGACATTAGCCACTCTCTATATTTTATATAGATTAATGTAGAACATATCCTCATTAAAATTTTTTTTAATGTAAAAGATGGTCTTCCAAAGGAATTAGAAATATTTTAGTTCTGAAAGAAAAGCCATCCTATCACTTGGCATCCGGTTTTCATGCCTGTGAAATATTTCTGTGCCCTCCCCCCAGAAATCTCCTGCATCGGAACATCGTTCGTCACTCCTGTGCCATGAGGTGTGCACCGTCTCTCTGCAGTGCTACAGTCCGCCTGTCTTCTTGTCCAGTTAGGGGTGGCACTGTAGTTGCGTGCGTATGGTTAGTCCTTGTTGTTAGGCGCAGTTGTTTTCCTGAGGCCATCTACTATTGCTCATCTATTTTGATATTGACAGATTGTAGATTAAAGAAGTCAGGAAAAGCAGCCAGAAGACAACGATAGATATTTATTAGAACAGCAAACTGTCAAGTGGTTAGAAAAAGAGTAAAGACTTATTAGACCTAGGAAATCTAAGTTGGCAACTTGGCCAATTTCCCCAGAGGAAACCCGGAATTTGGCCGCCCCTCTGTAGGAGACCACGAAGTTGTTCTCAGGGTTTGGAGATGATGCTCCGGAGGATGTGCAGGCGGATAATCTACTTCTGGTAACCCGAGGTGCTTCGGATATTTGGCCATTGCTCATGACAGTAGAGATTACATTATGTTACATTACATTAAAATAAGTTAATATTTCTCTAGGCCTTTGCAGGTTGCAAAGCATCTTCCCATATGTGTTTCTTTTGTTCCTCACCACAGCCCCCTGAGGAAGTAATTGCTGTCCCTATTTCATAGATGAGGTTAAATGTCTTGTTTGAGGCTACACAATGTGTCATTATTAGGCTTGGAATTAGGACTCCTAACTCTGAAGCACATGTTATTTCAACTACATGCTAATGCAGAGATTGCTTAGCCACAGACACAAGAAAGCTGAGAAGAGGAGTCCCATCTGTAAATGTTTCTAGTTTTTTAAGGACAAGGTACCATTCAGGCCATACGGCTATGAAGGATTTTGTGGAGAGAACACAAGAAGATTACTCTCTGAAGCTGGAATTGGGGATATAAAAATATCAGTTCATGCTCCATTCAAGTGACCCAATCCTTCCCAGCAGGGACAGAAAACCTGCTTTCCCCAGTGGCTGCCGCATGTGTGCATATGATGTGCACTGCACAGTTTTAAGGAATTGTGCAAAGTGGCATACCTGCCCCCTCAAAGCCGGGGATTAGGGGTGGCGAGAAATAAACATTTGATTAACAGAAGCTGACCCAATAGAGAAAGGAGTGTTTATTGGGGTATAAGAGCCAAAGCCAAATAATCCAGTTTCTGGCCAGATAGAGATTCCTTGAAACAGATCTTAGAAGGTATTGCAAACATTGAATCACAAAGAATATTGACCTTTAAATACTTCTGAACAGTCCTGGATCATGTTTTTACTTTTTCCCAATGGAAAAAATTAAGGACTTAAACATTTAAAATTTTATTTCATGCCCCCGCTCTTTTCTGGTGGAAATAATATTGCTTTAAAATTTAATCATGAAGTGGTCTACCAGCAAAATCAGACTAGAAAACGAGCGTGGCGTGCGTTATAAAAACAGTCACTGCTCTAAAGCACGATCCCATGGATGAGGGCGTTCAGCACAAGTATCCCATCAGTCCTGTACAAAGACTAATATCAGACCTTTTGGTCTAGAGATTAGAAATGTGTTTATTTTCAAATAAGACTGGTATGAATCTTATTGATAAATGACAGATACTGCTATTAAATGATACTCTCATCATCATTAATTCCTTTTAGCAAGCACTTAAGCATTTCTGACAGTTAGATGCCCTAGGTAGTGATATTAATTATGTCTGTCCTCTCTTATTTTCCCCTTCCTACCTCTACTAATGGAATTTCCCCAGTTATAGAGAAAAATGATAATAAAAACTAAACCTCATTTATGCTAAGGTCCTATGGGCTTAATGTGTTACTCTTGGGGATACCTGACTTTTAAGAGAGGAGAACAGGGCAGGGAATGGAGGAGAGAATGTTTTGGGGGAAGGAGAGAATTTGTAGAAGCATCAAATTACATGGCTACTTTCTAGCCCCATATTCCCAGGAAAATTGACAATTGAAACAACATTTACTCACCCCCGGGCTCATTTTGGTCAGCCGAGCTGGTCATTTTGGAGGCAGAAAGCTCAACAACAGTACTTCCTCCTGACTGCCTCAACTGGGATTGGGTTCTTACTTACCTTAGTTCCCTATTTTTTTTTTTTGTAGGACATGTGGTGAACATAACACCCTTGTAATGAACATCCCCTGGTTCATACATTTTGAAGTATACGGATAGGAGCTGAATTTACACATCTTAAGGAAAGCTCCCTGACAAAAGTTCTGAGAAGTAAAAAGCAACCCAGTGTAGCCTGTTAGAGTAAGGAAAGCGTTTCTGGTCTCATCCACGAAGAACCTTTGGTCTGTTATGGTCTTGAGAGTAAGGAGTTTGGAAGCTAAAGAGTTTGGTGTGTGGAGGGGAGTAATAATGGAAGGTTAATGCAAGTTTTCTGTTTACCCTCTAATCAGTGACTATGCCAAGGGGAAATGCAGGAAGAACACACCGATTTATTTGAAGAAGTCATGTAATATCAAATGGACTAAAGGTTATGGATCATTAAAATGTCAGTGGCTGAGTGATGCTTTTCCAGAGGCAGTTGGGAACCTGTCTTAATGTGCAGTAACTGCAACGGCAGCCCTAGAATGTGAGCCCAGGGCTGCAGACTTACGTTAATGCAAAAGCTAAATGATTTAAAGTTAAATTTTAATGCTAGGCACAAGCACTCTGTAATACATTAAATTTCAGCCCAAGCAATTAGGGAATGTTTCTGAAACATTAAACTTGTATTTATGTCACTAAAATTCTAACACAAATTTTAAAAATGTGTTCTCATACCTATGCTGTACTAGGCTTCATGATGCATTTCTAAATTTGTGTATGATTTGAATATATAAAAGAATTTATACAAGAGTGTTATTTAAAATTATTAAAAATAAATGTATATAATTTGTACCTATTGCAGATTCGTTGTTTTTTACGTGGTCAGAGCGGTTGGAAGTCTTTAGATATGTGTCACAGATCATTCTTTTCCAACCACATGGTGAAATCCCGAATGCTTCATTTGTTGACTATGCGTTATGTTTTAAGAATTTCCTTTAAAGAATGTTTTCCACTTGGGAATAAAGTGCCACATGAGGAAGATTCCCCCGTTAGAACAAAACAAAAACAAAGCACCCTGAGGAAAAAACATATATTGACACACATTCCTGTTTGCGCTCTTGCTTGTCCTCTCAGATCCACTGGGGTTTCCATGGAAATGTTATAGAAAAAACTCGCTCCTTTTGGATTCCTTTTTCATTCATGTAAAACATTCCCTTTTGTTGGTATAAATTTGAAGAGCCACAACCATGTCCTATGAGTCGATGAGATAACTGGTAATGAGAGTACATCTTTTTGTTATTTTAAGGTGACCTTGAAGATCCCTATTTGACAAAGGTCAGTGGTGTTTAATGGGATGCCATTTGGAGACCCAAAAGGTACTTTGAAAAGAAGAAAAACGAAGGTGTTTCTTTGTGCTGACAGCTTTGTAAACGGCAACTGGTTTATTCAATGTCAGTTGTTGATATTTAAACTTTAAAACTCTGTTTTTCTTTTCTAGTCATACAAGAAAACAAGTTTTATTAATTCATAATCCCACATTATAATTTATACATAGGGTTCTATGCATGTAGATCTATGATGTGCGTGAATGGGGTATTATTTTAAGAAAACAGAAAAATAAGCATGGCAGAAACCTAAGCGAATTAAAATTTCAAGAGAAAGTAAATTATTCTAAAAATTTACCACAGCAAGAGGAAAAATATTACTTCTACACAAGCATTGTAAGTCATACTTTTGGTGAAAGTCGATCAAATAAAGACATTTACTAGATTGCATTATCAAAATTGGTTGCATTCATTTTCCACAGAAGTATGAGTGTTTTTAAAAATTACACATGCTTCACTAGAATTAAACCAGTAACTTCAAAGTAACAAGTATGCTTCGTTACACTTAAAAAGTTGAGTTAAATTCAAAATAACCAAATGTTTTTCCTGAGATGATAGTAGCAGGAGTGTTAACTGATGGGCTGAAAAGCAACATTCTCAGTGAATGTTAAGTCATAATTTATGGTAATTTTTCAAGGCAAATTGATGAAGAAATTGTCATAACCATTGTATAGGCTTCCTAATACTTCCGTTTGCAAAATGAAAGCCATTGGGCGATGTTAAATTTAAAATGAGTTGCCAGTTTGTACCAATAGGTAGGTTTTAAACGTTGTGTGTTGAACGCCGAATTTCAGATAGCTGCAGAACAAAACAGTCCAAATGTTTTCATTGTATGCAGGAAGAGTAGGTTTGGGCAATAAAGGAAGTATTTGGAGGGAAATCTTCTTTTGTGGTTTCCTTTGTGTTATCAGCCCAGCTGCTGAGGTCCTACAGGTCAGCGTTGTTTTTCCTAGTCGCGGGCCCAAGTGAGGAAGAGCCTTGTCCCGTCCTGCTCACGACCACACTCTAGCCCGGTCATGTTAAACGTGGGTAGTTTCCTATCTATGCCAGGTTATGTGATGTTTCTCTCCCTTTGCTGCTGCTGCTTCTTCTATCCGTAACATTCGGGAGAATGTTTCTTCATTCTTTGCAACCCCCTGATTAAAAAAAAAAAGCTCATCAATCTGTAATTCGTATCTCCATTTTGTCCAATGAATACTTCTCTTATTGCACATATTTTATTGTAAATACTTGTTATTGCATGTCTTCCCCAGTAGACTCTGGATTCCTTGAAGCCAGGGGCATTTGTTCCCCTGCCTCTAGTGTCTGGCACAGTGCTGGCACTCGTGCTCAGGAAGTGGTGGTTTAAAACAAAGGTACTTGACAGATACAAGAGTTGCTGTGTGAACTTATTTGGCAGAGTATTATGAGAAATCATATTCAGTAGATAAGACAATATTTTTAATTTAATAGAGATGTCAGCAAACGGGCATCAGGGGGTCTGAGAAACTGTTGAAATTGTACGTTGGTTTGTGAATACAAACAATTTGTGTGTGTGTGTGTGTGTGTGTGTGTCTGGAGAACGGTCCATAACCTTAATCACAGTTTCCAAAGGATCTATAATCCCAAAGGACTGACAACTAACTGGATGGGGATTACTCTGTGTATTTCAGCAATAAAAACCCTCCCACTGAATAAAAATCAGTTCAGCCTCGATTCAAGAAATCCGCTTCTGGGAATGCCTCATAATGAAATGACCTAAAAAGCAGAGACTGCTGGGCGAAAAGTGACATTTTTTCCCAAAGTTCTATATAAAGTTCAAAAAGAGAGAGACAGACTCTAGGTGTTCAACAACAGAGCGTGTGCTGTTATGTTGTGTGGCTTAGTGCATCCACTTGTTGAGATAACACAGTCATTAAAAAGAATAAGGAAGGCCCAGACTGGTGGGGCTCAGCTGGGTCGGTGTTGTTCCTCAAAGCGAAGGGTTGTGGGTTTGATTCTGGTCAGGGCACACGCCTGGGTTGCAGTTTTGATTGCCAGTCAGGGCACATATGGGAGGCAATTGATCTGTGTTTCTCTCTCACATTGATGTTTCTTTCCATTCCTTTCTCCCTCCCTTACTAGCACACCCTAAAAAAAAAGAATAAGGAAGAATGATTAAAAACAGAGTCAAAGTGAAGAAAAACAGGACATTTTAAACATGTGCATGCAATCCTACTTCTGGTATATATCAATAGTTTAGAGAAACTCTTCTGTATGTACACCAGGGCCCACGTTTCAAATTCTTCATTGAAGCATCATTTGTTACAGCAAAATAATAATTGGAAACACCCCAATTGTCTGTCAGGAGGAGAATGTATAAGTTATGATCTACCCATGTCCTTTGAACATAATTTTATGCAGTAGTCAAAAAATGAATGAATTACAAATGTATACATCAATACAGATGAATCTCAAAAACATAATGTTGAGTAAAACAAGTCAAAGAATATATACAATATAATTTCTTTTATGTAATGGTCAAAAATGGGAAATGGAATATGTTATTTAAAAGCACATACATATGTGGGGAAACTAAAGAAAAATAAAGGAATGACTAATACAAAAGCAAAGATAACTTTTTTGGAAGGAAGAGGGTGATGTGCAGATGACTCCAAAGGTATCGGTGCTGTTCTTTCTAAGGAATGTGTGAGAGAAACAGCAATGTGAGGGAGGAACATCGATCGGTTGCCTCCCATATGTGCCCTGACCGGGGATGGAACCCACAACCTTTTGGTGCACAGGATGATGCTCCAACCAACTGAGCCACCTGGCTATGGCCATTGCATTTTTTAAAAAACTCTCTGTGTTTACACACACACATATACTTTGGTATATATATGACATTTCATAGTGAAAAATTTTAATAAGATATAAACTGGTAGATAAAACATAATTTCAACTATGTTGGAAAATATAGAAAATGTTTGGAAGGAAATACCATAACTTGGTGATATCTATACTAAATAAACAAAACAAATCCACTACCTTTATTTCAAAATGGGGAAAAAAAATTCATCAGGAGGATATAGCAATCATGAATGTTTATGCACTTAATAATAAGAGCTTCAAAATACATGAAGCAAAAATTGTTAGTACTGAAAAGAGAAATAGGCCAATCCACAATTATAGCTGGAGACTGCAACCCCCTCCCACTAACGTATGGAACAAGTAGACAGAATATCAGTAAAAACATAGAACACCCGAACAACATTGTCACCAACTAGACCTAATTGACATAGAACAGTCACCCAATAATAGGATATATTAGAAAATTAAGCTAATTAAATATAACAACATATAAAAAAGATAGTACTTCATGACTGTCTGGGGTTTATCCCGTGAATGCAAGATTGGCGTAGTATTTGAAAATCAATCAATGTAATTCACACAGATTGAAAAAGAAAAATCATATGATAATCAGGTCTGTATATGCAGGGGAAAAAATCCAACATTCATTCATGATAAAGATGATGATGATGAAGAAAAGATGAGGAAGAAGCAGGGGGAGGAAAAGAGACTCTCTACTATTAAGTTATCTGTCCAGTTTGAGGGCTGGGACTGTCTTCATCTTTTCATCGCATGGCCAAGCAGAGGCCCCGGTACCTAAAAGAGCTCAATACATATTATGGAATGAATGAGTGATTGAACATGCTGTATGGTAGTTTTTCACTGGTAAATGTGGCAAAGACATGTACTGCCGTTTGCAGGCTGTGAATTAGAGCAATCCTAACACAGAAAACAAATATACTGGGCAGCACCAAAGTCACTTGTAAGTAGGGATGTTTTTGAGCGACCCTAGGAACAAGCAGCATAAAACTTCCCTCTGTGGAATGGTGCTGATGAAGCTCATTCCTCCAGGGCAGGGAGATGGCGCCCAGACTGGATCGCGTAGCCTCAAACTCTGTGGCATGTGCTGACGGGGTAGGAAGTCTGCTATGCGGATACTTTTGGCGCCCTCTCCTTCCTGCCTTTATTTTCAGTAGCTTCAGAGCCAACAGGCTATAGTTCAGCTTTACAATTTTCCCCAACCATTTTCTAAATGGGCCATTGTTATCTTTTATCACCATAGCTCAGGGATGATCTAGCTTCGTTTGAGGAAGCTATTTTTTTACCAAGAGATGAGATTCTTCCAGACAAAGATAAAGACATTAATGGTTGTCTATTAAGATTGTTTAGTCGAGATAATTATTTTGGGGTAATTAAGCAAATTATATAGACTCCAACGGGCCATTAATCCCCAAAGGAATCTTGTGAAATGGAGAGAACTTCTAATTCTGTAGCAAGGGGCAGAGTTTGACAACAGTGACGTTTTTGAATTTCCTATAGTGAAAATGAAAAGGCAGCAATGTTGTCAGGTATTGGTCCTGGGTACAGAATTAACTTCGTCGACTTATAATCTGTTGCTGTATTAAACCTTGTTGTATTAAAGTAGATCATCAAAGCATTTACTT